GGTAAGTTTCAGCAGCGGCTGAACCTGGACGCCAGTTCCGACTTACATACAGATTCAACTTAAGAACAAACCTACAGTCCCTATCTTGTACGTAACCCGGGGACTGCCTGTACTTCAGGAATTTATCCAATATGAAAATAAATCTTAATTTTATGGTGCCTGTCTGCTTTGGTATTATATGTGCCTTACATGAAAAGAAAATAGCAAAATGAAAAAGCTTCCATTAAAATTCAATAACAAGATAAAATTCAGATAAAACATTAAAACCAATTCATTGTGCCCTGCCAATATATTCAAGTATGCATAGAATAAAAATATTATATATTGGGAGCTTATTGGATCCCTATCTGTATTCTGCTTTAAATGGAACAATGATGTGAAGGCCTGGCGGGGAAAAAAAGATCACAATTAAATTAGTTCCTATTCATATTTTTGAAGAAGAAAATGCCTTATTTCAATGCAGGATTGACTAAGTGTCTAAGAATAGGTTCCTCAACCTGATTTTTATGTGCTTTTGATAATACACAAGGAATTATCATAGAAAAATGAAACTGTGGGTTCAGAACAAACATAATATCCAATTTCATGGAAACCAAATTCCAAAAAATAATAGAAGTGAAGACAGTTTGAACCAATAAAACTGAAGTGAAGGGCAAATGGCATGTGTTTTGTAAAATTTAACTCAACAGTGTTCAGGATGGATTGATATTCATTTTATCTTTTAAACAAAATACTTTCTTTGTTCCTGAACAGATTGTACCGTGATTGCTTCTCAGCTGGATTTCAACAGGAGGTTGTGAACCAGAATGTCCAACGCATCCTATAAGCTTCAATGAATACTTCTCAGAGTTTATGTATGATTCATGGCAAAAAACAGTGGAGCTGCTGATTAAATATTTAGGAGAATACTAAAATATTCAATAAACTCAGATCTTTAATCTGTCACAGTAGAAGCCCCAACCTTTGGCAAAACTGCAAACTTCGAAACTGACTAAAAGAAGTCCTTCAGAGCCTTGCTGATTTTCAACGATAGTATTAAACTACACTGAAGATTTTTCCAGCAACTTGAGGCTTGTGAAAATGGGAGGGCAGAATGTCAGGGAAATGAGAAGTAGGGTATATGTTTTCAGAAAGAACCAGCTACAGAACTGACTGGCACCATAGCAAGATTCAGTTCTTTAGATGCAACAAGACCACCACGAAACCCCAAAAAGTAATATTAGTATACGTACAAATGCACTCCATGCCATCACGCACATGCCGGTGCTCGCAGCCTGCACAAGTCCACCCTGTGGATCCAGGTTTGCAAGTACATTGTCCAGTGACTGAGTCACAGGGGATAGGCAGTGAGCCATATGGATCACACTCACATTCCTTGCAGGACCGTCCTGGAGTTCTTGGATCACCGGTGTAGCCAGGGGAACATCTAGACATTAAAAATATCAACACAGATTTGGCCTATCAAGAATGATAGCACATTATATTTACCTTGTCTGCAGCTGGCAAGATAAGTCTCTTTTTTGGCACTTTATGACTACATATATATCGGGTAAGGGAGAAATGTGCATACCATCAGACCAAGTGATTATAGGCACAATCCTGTAGTCAAGGTTTTATTCAGGGCTGCAGGGGTGGACAAAAGTAAAACTCTACAACAGACTGACTTAACAAATTCCCCATGATCTGCTTATTATCAAGAGACCTCCAAATGCTACTGAAGATACTGCCTGGCTATTGTGTTTAAAAGTGAAATTTGTCCTAATAATCTACTAACTGTGGTCATCTTATTCATACTATGTTATTCAACTCTTTGTTCTGATAGCTGGAACAACTTCTGTCTCTTTTCTCCCTTGTAGTCAAGCTTAAGAAGGCTCCACTAATAGCAAACAAGTGAATTTTAGGATGACATTGAGTAATGAATATATGAAGTACTTAATTTTAGATAAATGTACTGTATTCTTTAGATCTTAGGGATACGATGTAAAGTAATATGGCGTAAAAAAGTCTAAGCCAATATAATTTTGCCATTATTGAATTTATCCACTGTCAATTTATAGTAGGAATTGGTGAACTACCTGATAAATCCAGATTTTAAATCATATATACAAGAGGAAATAACTTATCAAAGGAAGCATATTTAGAGGATTTTGTATTATTTACTGACATCGACTGAAAGGGATCATGCCTTTTTCTACATTATCCCTTTTCCAATTCTCTCACTCTTGACCCACACAATTACCATACCTTTCACAGTACTGGCCTTCATATCCAGGTGGGCAAGTGGTACACCGGTAATCAGTGAGACCTTCCGCAACACAAGAAGGGCTAAAGCTGACATATGAGGGAAAAAGAATAAATACATTTCTACTGTACTCCATTAGTTTGTCATCTCACTCTTAGCAGCTGTACAGGGCCAGTAACAGAGTCTACTCTTCAATGTTAATGTCAGGATTTTCTCACCCACCTATGTACACTTAGGCCGTGTCCAGACTCAGGGGTTTTTTCGGGAAAAGTAGCCTTTTCCCGAAAAAACTTCCCCTGCGTCCAGACTCAAGCCGCGTTCTTTCGAAATTATTTCGAAAGAACGCGGCTTTTCTTTCGATGGCGGTAAACCTCAATTTACGAGGAAGAACGCCTTCTTTCGAAAGTTCCTCTTTTGAAAGAAGGCGTTCTTCAATGTAAAGAGGCCGTCTTCGAAAGAGAGCATCCAGACTCGCTGGGTGCTCTCTTTCGAAAAAGCGGATTTCTCTTTCAAAAGATCCGCCTGCAGTCTAGACGCGATCTTTCGAAAGAGGCTCTTTCGAAAGATGCTTTCGAAAGAGCCTCTTTCGAAAGAAGCCTGCAGTCTAGACATAGCCTTAGTGGAAAGATACTCATCAGTGAAAACAATTATTCTGTAAGTCCCTAGCTGTGATGTGAATGGTATCAGAGGATAAAAAGTAAAGGGGAAAATTAGCCAAGCATCAGTAAATGTTCCCACCCTAGCCATATTTTGCTGATTTTCAAGTTCTCTGGTCTTTGTTTTGTAATGTAGCATCTGCTGATGTGTATGGATACCTCTGCCTTCCAATGGATAGAATCAGACCTACTTAAACACTTATTTATTATTATTGTTATTATTATTTATTATTATTATTACCACCACCATCATCAGAGGGCCTAGAATTTCTAATTGTGGGCCAGCATACCACTGTGCTAGATTCTGTACAAAGACAAAACAAAAAGACAGTCTACCAATGTGAAAACAGTGTAAATGTAAGACAAGGGAACAATAGAAGAATGAAAACAGATGGGAATTCAAGGAAACAATGAGACAGTATTGGTCAGTGTGACAGACAGTGATCTCACAAACCAGCAGCCTAACTACTGTCAATTTTTTTTACAGGAATCAAGGCAAATGAGAGTTTGAAGGAGGGTTTTGAAGGTAGGAATTGACATTATAATAGCTGTGAGATGGTAAGTAGTATGTGGATAGGCCATGTGGGGTCTTGAGCAGTGTTCCCTCTAAAAGTTTCTCTCCTTGGCTAGGTTGAATTTTCTTTTGGCTGGGTTGAATTTCTTATGTGCACCACCAATATTGAGGTAGTGTGTCGATGTATACCACCAATACAACAAAACACATACTGTGTGGGTGTGTCTACACAAATACATATATACATGTATTTTAAGTAGTCCATATGTGTGGAATAAAATATATTTAAAAAAACACCTGTGACTAGTTGTGAGGTACACTTAGAAACTACAAAGGTAGGGAATTAGCCTTCTTCTGTTAGAGGAAGAGTAGAAGCCCCAGAACAAATTAACACATGGTTTCAGGGTGTGTAGACATTGCATGTTTCAAAGAGCTTGCAAATAAGGTTTCATCCTACAAAATAACTAGCATTACACCTAGTATTTGCTACTTCTAACTCATAAAAGCCGGAACTCTACCAGATAGCAAAGGTCTGGCCTTAATGCAACACAATTTTCCATGTATTAATTAGTAACACAGGATTTTAAAAAATCGTTAAGATATCTGCAACGCTCCAAAAATTCTGTTAAAAAAATTAAAAAACAACTAATAGTCTTTAGGACTATTCACTGTTTTTCAATATTTTTACAGATACAGACTCACAGGGCTACCCCTCTGAAACTGTTAAAATAATCTTTTCTTTCTTATCTTAAGCCATTAACACCTCTATGCAAACTTTGTTTGAAATGTAATCATACAAATGTCCTCCTCCCACACACATTCACACCCCCCCCCCCCCCAACACACCCACCTCCCCTCCCCTCCAGGCTTTCTCCCCCCTCCCTCCAAACCAGCCTAACAGAGAGGACTGCAGTGAGTCGGATACTGCAAACTGCCCCATGCCTCCACCTCACTGCACAGATGCTAGCACTCAATCACTCCCTCTTTCCCCCACCTATCCCATGCAGTCAGCCCTTTACCTCCCTCTTCCCAGCCCAGGAGGTTTGAAGAGTCTGCTGGGTTTCTGTCTCTGCCTTCCTCTTTTTCTCTCTGTCTCCTCCAGCAGACGGGACTTTCCACCAAGCCAATTAATTACTCCTTCCTTCCTCCCAGCCACTCATTCCCAGCAGGGAGTATTAACTGCTGTTTACAGAGGCCCCGTCTCTGCCAATCAACTGATTTCCCTGCTTGCGCAGGGCTCAGAACATAACTGTGCGGCCACTCAGCCACATAGCTTAGAGGGAACTTTGATCTTGACAGTGAAGATGAGAAAATTATGTTTGATGTGACAGAGATAAGTAGCCAGTGCAAACAGAGAGATTATATGGTCCAAGTGAACGGATTAGGAAAACTATCTTTGCAGGAACATTTGGAATGGCTATGAGCAGGACAAAACTGCATTTGTCAAAACCAGAGAAAAGGACATCACAATAATCAAGACAACAGATGAGCAAGAGTTTTAGTTGTGTGGTTGGACAGGAAAAGCCATTATCTTAGGATATGTGTACATGGGGAATTGATACCATGGTTATGGTTCTAAGAGGCAGGCAGAATCGTGGTGCTGTGAGAAAGACTTAGGAGAGGAGGGGTAAATAAGAGCTCTGTTTTAGCCACACTGAGTTTGAACTGGCAACTAGACATCCAAAAGGAGATGCTGGAGAGAGAGGCTGAAACTTCAATTTAGATAATAGGACACAGGTCTAGAGTAGGGCAGTGAATCAGTAAGTCACAGCATAGGGGACAGCTGATTTGTTTGTTGTGTATAAGATTACCCAGAGGTAATATAGAGGAAGAAGAGAAGGAGACCAAGGACAGAGCCCTGTGGAACTACAACTGAATGTTGATGGGCAAGATAAAGAGGATGCTCCTTCTTTAAAGGAGTGTTCGGACAAGTGAGATCAAAAAAAGGATGGGATAGCATAACAGGAAGCCAAGGGAGGATATGATGTTGATGATATTGAAGATGGCTAGCAGGCCAGGGAGCATGAGGATGGAATACTGGTTCTGAGCTTTGACTAAGAAGAGATAATTAAAGACTGGCAAGATCATTTGCAATGATCTCACATTCTTGCCCTAATGCTACCCTAATGAAAGAATAATTTCTTTTAGCTCAAGCAGTGAATGCATGTATTTTAGACACAGAAGATAATGAGTTCTGTTCACTATGCCATATTTATATGGTAAATTGGTGACTGTAGTGCACATCCATGAAAGAAGTGGAATATTAGTAAGTTGGGATTCTATACTCAGTTTTTTTTTAAATGGAGAAACACAGTGAAGCATCAAAATAGTACAATGCTACAAAATGTATCCAACTGTTTGTGCCTGGAGTGTCAAACCAGATTAATGCTAAAAAAGCACTGAGGGTGTGGTGTCACAGAATACCCATTTGGTCTAGTGCAGTCAGCATCCTTATAATGCATTAAATCAATAGTGCTTGAATGAGTAGTAAAAATTACTCCTTTGTATAAAATATAAACAAATTGATCTACTACTCACAGACTCATTATCCAACACATTTTCATCTCCATGAAAATAGATCCACATACCCATAAGCAACTCCAGTTTTTCAGTTCATCATATTTGTAGTTGAATGCTGATTGTGCAAAAATATAACAACATCTTTAAAAACTTAAAAGCCTTATAAACTTAGCTGGGTTCTTGTAAAACTTCAAAAATAAAAAAAATTGAATTATATTAATGAAAAAATGTTATTTTATCACTCCGTGTCATCCAATTACCAGCTCGTGTGTATGGCACAAAGGTGTCTGTCATTTTATTATTACTCTTGCAATACAATGGTTTAATCTGAGTTTTTTCACCTCTAATATTGTCTTAAAGAGCTTGCAATAAGCAAGTCAAATGAATATCGTCAGGCTGGCAATTATCAAATCTAAGGTAAACTAATAAGCACAAGAACATCTTTTCTTTTTAATTAGGAAAGGAGGACCATGTCCCAGAGGTTAAAGCGCTGTACACTGCTATGAAGAAGGCAGATTTAAGTCTCATTCAAGTTTTTCACTGTCTATACTGATAAGAGTTGGTAGTTATGGAGGTTGCACAACAATTTCCTAAGGAAAAGGGAACACCTTGAATCATCCTTAAGTAACTGGTTTGGTTGATCTAGATTCAGTGCTTATTTTCTTAAGGCTCTTTGCCTCACATGAAAGGTCATGGAAATCTTGAGTGATGAGGATGGAAATCGGAACTTTTTCCACCAACCCTGCCCCCCTCCCAAAACCACCTTCAAAATTATAAAACAATGAAGACAGAAGATGACTTCTCAAAGGGGAAGAATACTGACCTATTAGCCTATCCTAATGGCATAGAACATGGCTTTGAAGAAAACTGCATGTCCCACAGTCTTTCAAAAGCGTTAAAGAATAACTCCTAATGGTACCTATGGCTTCTCATTACAATAAAAAACAAAGCTCAAGTATCATTTGTGGGGAAGAAGGAGAGAGAGGGAGGTAGGAAGGTTCATTATCATAAGGCAACCAATAAAATGGATACTGCAATAACTATATTGCTTTTAAACTATTCTATCTTTCACAAATTGCCTAAAACCCATGTAACATTAAATAAGGAATCAATAAATTGCCCAGTAGAAAGCGAAAAGGCTGTAATACATTTATACTAACACAATACATGAGCAAAAGACTATTTACAGCTCCCTTGTGGCTACATTGTACTTGAGCTCTGCTTTAGCTTCACTTATGAGAAACCTTTTGTAACACATATTCATTAGCTCTGGAGCACTGCTTTTCCACCCATTATTAATTTATTCATCACTAATTAGCAAGGGAGCAATCCCTGACTCTTAGCAAGATCAATTAGTGGAAGTGGATTGGACACATTTTAGCATGCACTTATCCTGTGTTCAGCTGACCGAGAGCACTGAGTGGCTAGAAGAGGCAATCTAACACTACAGGCTTACTTATTGGTGGCAATGGTTAGAGGACAAGCACAAGGATGGCAGTCCTCTGGAGATCCTTGGACGTTCCCGTAGAAGCCGACCGCGCACCTCTCACAATGTTCACCAGCTGTGTTGTGCCTGCAGTTCTGAGAGGAGGGAGGGAGAAAGAAAAGAGAACAGTCTGTGTTTTGTTCCTGGCCTAAAGGAGTCAAACATTTTTAGATACAAGGGATTTTTGCATTGACAAGTATTTAATTGCTGACTGTCTCTGATGTGATTGTTTCTGGAATTGCCTTCTTTCAGTCTCTCCCAGAAGACATGCTGTGTTACATATGGGTTTACATAGAGGTGGAATATTATCGATTATTGTGAAACAAACAGTGAGTTGCACGTTGGGCATAGGCTTACACGCATAATGGGGCAATCACCTTTGAGTGCCTCCAAGAAGCGGAGTGCAGTATCACAGTCCTTTTCTCACCCTTGGCACCTTCCGCAGGCTATTGGGTTGTGGCTTGGCCTTCTGGCCCCGTCACAAAATTCAGATGAACCCCTTCAGTGGTATTAAAAAGTCCAGTAGTATATTTGACCTCCCCAAGGTCTTCAGCCCTGGTCTTTAGCATCGTAAATTAGGCCATTTGTTCAGGCTCCCAAATAAGATCTATCCTCTGCTTGCAATACATACTCCATTACCTAGGGCTGGCAAGGAAATCCAGGCCTGCTCACCACTCTGGATTCCAACTCAGGGACTCTAAACAACAGCCACACACTTCTTACTCCTGTCCATAGCTGCTTTTTTCTGAGGATCTTCTCCCCTGCTCCTGTTATCTCCATTTCTCAAGTTCTCTTCTATCCCCTGACAAGAGAGGAGCACCCTTCTTCAAGACGTTTTCTGCTTCACCAAGCAGTAGTTTGGAGGAGAAAATATACACTACAGAATTAGAATCCTTAACTCAAGGTCATTCTGGAAAATCTTTGAAGGCAGACAGAGATTCATGGTTTTGGTCCAGCAACTTTTTCAGTGTCCCCTCTTTAAGGCAAGAGATTAAAATATGTCCTTCATATTTTCAATTTTGGCACACAGCAGATTAATTTTACATTAAGTAGAAAAAAACAGTGCACTGGGATAAGAAGAATCTGGGATTTATACCTGACATATAGAGGTTTCAGGATCACACACATTACTATGTCCATGACATTGACATGCAGCGCAAATGCCTAGGGTTGGTCCAAGACTCCTGACAGTTGATACAGGAGGCAGTCTATAAAATCCGGGAGAACATGCCTAAAATAAAAGAGAGGCAAACACAGAGTGGATGGATAGTGGGAGTTCAGCAAGCTCATCTTCATCACCACCACCTTTTACAAGTTGACATGCCTTCATCTATGTAATAAATACCAGAACCAACAAAAATTTGAAACAACTGAAAAATTCCTGACTCCAGCCTTTTCATACTACAGTTGGAGAGACCTTTCATTCACACCCATTTCATCCTCACCCAGAACAACTTTATATTTAACAACCAAACACTTTGTCTAAACTATGGGAATAGCCCTGGTACCTGGGATAGCTTCCCAGAATACCAACCCCTCCATGGCCCATCATGAGGAAACATTTCTGGAGAAGTGCACCACTCAATTAAGGGCATTAAATTTCGGTTAATTTACCAGTCAATTAGTCGATGGAATTTCCATCAAATACTCAACTAGTCAATAGGCACTTCCGCATTCCTCCTTTGAAATGTACAAGAGCCCCAGTGTGCAGCCAGGGGCCAGGAGAGTAGGGCACCAGATTTGGGAGTGGGTCTGGGTGCAGGAGGGGGGCAGGAGCGGGGAGGCAGAGGATTGGGGAAAGGAGGGGCCGTGTGCCAAAGGCAAGCTCTGGCCAAGAGATTTACCAGCCAGCCTGCCTACTTGGCCATGTGCTTGTGTGAATAACTGAGCAGGAGGGAAGGCGAGTGTAGTGCTTCATGGCTGCCTGTTATTCAAACAGGCAACTCCCATTGGCCAGTTTCTGGTCTGAAACTGGCCAATGGGATTGTGCTGGGGGCGAGAGCAGCACCTGAAGCCTTCCCCCCTCTCCTCCAAGATTACAGTTGTGAAAGGGAAACAGGGCCAGGCAGCCTTTCTTCTGAGTGTGTGTGGGGTAAGCAGGATATGCATCTAAACACACTTGAAACAGGCTTCATCAAACAAAGGCACACCATTAGAGAAGTAGATCTCATTATGGAAGGAACCATCCAAATATTCCAAGAGAAACTGCTTCAGTACAGAAAATAAACCCCAACCCCATTGTTTGCATACTCCTAGTTATCACCCATCACCTCACATTAGAACTCACATGGGGTATTTGTTAAGCTAGCACATCAAGTGTCAGTTCATGTCAAGGCCTCTAAGTCTCATTAAAGACTGGCAAATGTGTAGCTGAAAACCAGTCTAGCTTACCAGGCATTAGTTATTGTTAAAATAAATGTTAGATGTAGAGAAATGTATTTAGAGTTTGGACTTTAAGGAATGCTTGTGAGTTTCTGCATGTATTAATCTCACTTATAACATCTTTATGCCATGTTATAAGGTAATATTTAAGTGTTTGCTTTGTAACTATAAGTGTTAGCTATGAAGCTGGAAACTCCCAGTCAGGAGAAAACCATTATTAAGTATGAAATACTAATTTGCCACAAGAGGTGCACTCTCCTGCACAAAAAGGTTTGTAGACATAACAAGAATCTTCATGGAACATTAGTGACATAAGACTTTGTGGATTACACCCCTCACACCCATGAAGAAGGGAGGTACACAAACTCCCATTTCATTATAGTTTGAACTCTGGGAGAAGGGAATAAAAAGGTCCTCTATCATGCTGCTTGGAACTGAGAGACAGTGATATTTCTGGCCATAAGCAAGAGATCCCCAAAATGCCTAGATATCACTCATCTTCAAAGGTAGCCTACTCAACACTTTTAAAAGGCAAGCCTGGGAGCTCAAACTCATAACTCTGTGAGATACTAAAAATCATGGACAGGATGGAAACGCTGGAGTTATGGCTTATTACAACAATTTATTGCCCCATAACAACCTCTTCCAGTGGCTTCTCCTCTCCTGACCTTTCCTCCCTAAGACTGGAGGGAGGGGTAATTAAATTGACCACTTCACCTTAAAAGATCCTTTGAAACATGTATTGTTACATATGCTAAACACTCTGTTCCACCTTGTATTTATTGGTAGACACTTTGCACTTTCAAAAGTGGAATATTTGAGTGGAGAGTTAATTGACATGTGCTTGACTACGCTCATACAATAGCCTGTAGCAGTATGTTAAATTTATAATCACTGGTGACCCATTAAGAATCTAAGTAAGAGATAAAGCAGAAACACAATTATTTTCTTCAGAGTCAGAAGTAAGTAATTTCAACTCACTTTTATTTTGGCTTAGACTGTTAAAATCAGTGAAGCACAGAAACAGTCTATCTGCCTTTAGCATGGCTTGTGAGGAATTCTAATTTAGTGGAATAATCTCAAATGGGAGTAATTTATTCCTTACTAGGGATTCTTCATTTCCTCCCTCAAAAATGTCCTTGTCTAAAATAAACTGGTACAGTGGGATCTTTGCAAGTGCTGAGAGCCCCTAAGATTGGGAGAATATATATATATATGCGCAATTTTTGGTACATCTTAAGCTAAATGGAAACTCCAACTCATTTGTTTAATATGATATTGACATTCTTCTCATCTGTACTGATTTTAAAATTACAAAATGATCCAGAATATGGGTATAATATCAAGTAAATTATGAGCATGTTGAATGCATTTTCCAGAGCTATTTTTGAAAGATACCAGCAGTGCTTATCAGGAAAGAACTCTGATCCTTATATTTTGGACATGCACTTGAATACAAAGTTTTAGAGGTGACCAATGTCACCTCTGAAATATCTGAGGGTATGTCTTGACTGCACCTGCTGCCGGCAGAGGGATGCAGATTAGTCAGGTTGAAATTGCTAATGAATCGGGGATTTAAATATCCCGCACTTCATTAGCATAAAAATGGACGCTGCTTTTTTTTTGGCGCGGAGCTTTGTCGGAGAAAAGCAGCAATCTAGAGGCTGATCTTTTGCTAAATAAAGCCTTTTCTGATAGATCCCTTATGCCTTGTAAAACGATGCAGAGGGATGCAGTCTAGACATCCTCTGAGGTAAAAACACTACATGCATAGTTCTTAAGAACTACAGTTTTGGGATATTGACTATATCAAGCAGTAGAAGTTATTCCAGATGACTTCACAAGCTTTACAATCTATGGGCACATACTAGAAAGCCACTGGGTATCAGATCTTTCTCTTTTCCTACAGGAATATGGGGGTTTAATCCTTTATAGAATATTCCATTAAAATATATGTTGAGAGAGTATTAAGATTCCACAGTTAAGCAGGAAATGGCAACATTATAACTTCAACCGTACCTCTCCCCCCGCCATAAGTGTGTATTATGATAAAGTTCTAACAATATTGACACATATAAGAACTGAGTAAATCATGGATTTTTTAGTTTGCTTGTAAATTGAAAAATTGAAAGCAAGTTTGGATTTGATTCAAACTAAAAACAAAATTTACAGCAAATTGAAAAGATGAAAGAATTTTGAGTCAGGCTGAAATGAAAAGGTTTTATTTTGATGCAGTTTATTTTCTTTTGTTTTGATTTTGGGCATCACAACAAAAGCCCAATTTCCAAAATTCAAAATCTTTTATGAAATGCAACTTTCATCCCTACACTGCTCTACTTTTGGGTGTCTGACTTTGAAACATTAATAAAATTGTTCAATGAAGGTTTTCAGGATATTATAAAAACTCATTTGATAAAAAAGGAAGAAATCTTTTTCTTTGTGGAGAAATCATTAACTAAAAATTAGGTGAAATTTACCAAATTACTACTGTGCATATTTGTTAGTATATAGCTTGTTCATGACTCATAGTAAAAATTTAATATTTAAAATTCAAGATGATTTTATTGGACCCAGAGGTTACCTGTTGTTTCTATTCCCAGACTGGATGGACGCATCACTTAGGATAATTTTTCAACATGATTCTGCACACGTATAAAATAAAAATTCACTACAGGGAAAGATTTTGTAATATCCACTCAAAAATCTGTGGATGATTTGGGGGAACATTCCTCCCTGTAAATACATTTGATAGAATATTTGTGTAATACACACAAAAGGGATGTGAATGCAGGTCAAATGAATTTATTTTCACAATTTTGGGCTGTGTTCATCCAGAGATAAATAAGAATGTGTGATAGTCTCTTAACTCATGGCTGCTTTGCCAAGTATCTAACTTCAAATTCACTGCAGGGAACTGGCTAAGGATATACCAAGCCAATGACAGTATCTGAGCATTTTAAACAATAGCCACGCTCTTCAAACAAGTAAAAAATACAGGGCAAGCCATGTACATTTTAAAGCTTCCAAATATAATTTCAAATCCAAGCACAGAGATGAAATTTCCTTCTCTTTTATCACTGTATATGAATATGATAAACTGATATTTGTAGGCTAGCCTCTAGAGAAGAGTGATATCATAAAAACTTAAATATTGCTCAGCAGTATGGGCACCCCAAAAATGTAGGTTGTTCGTAATGTTGAAATGTACTGTAACTTTGAACAAGACCTTACAGATTCAAATCCAAGCACAGAGATGAAATTTCCTTCTCTTTTATCACTGTATATGAATATGATAAACTGATATTTGTAGGCTAGCCTCTAGAGAAGAGTGATATCATAAAAACTTAAATATTGCTCAGCAGTATGGGCACCCCAAAAATGTAGGTTGTTCGTAATGTTGAAATGTACTGTAACTTTGAACAAGACCTTACAGA